CGCCCTTAACCGGAATCAAACCTGGGACCCTTGAGTCCACAGGCTGACGCTCTACCCACTGAGCCACACCGGCTAGGGCATATGTGACATTCTTTAATTGCCAAGGCCCCTTCTTGGGCCCACGTTGTCACAGGGAGGCCCATCTTCACAGGGGACACCAGGACAAGGCCTTGTGCTCCTGTCTGCCTCAGGCACTGCCCACATTTCCCGTCTCCCTCACTGTAAACTCACAGCCTCTCTGGAGCTCCTTTCCTCACGGGTTAGTCTCCACTCCATTCAATCCCATGTTTTTGCTACGGGAGTTTATGGCATCATTCATTTTGCTCTCCCTCCTGGATTACTCCCGTGAGCATACAAACATGCTCATTCCTCCCACTTTCAAAACAAGAACTGCTCTAGCTCAGTGGTGGGCAAACTGTGGCTCTCAAGCCCCATGCGGCTCTTTGGCCCCTTGAGTGTGGCTCTTCCACAGAATACCACGTGCGGGTGCGCAGGTACAGTGCGATTGAAACTTCTTAGCCCATGGGCAGAAGTCCGTTTTCGGCTCTCAAAGAAATGTTCATTGTACTGTTGATATTTGACTCCGTTGACAATGAGTTTGCTGACCACTGCCCTAGCTGGCTTGGCTCAGTGGATAGAGCATCAGCCCCGAAGACTGAAGGGTCCTGGGTTCGACTGTGGCCAAGGGCACATACCTTTGTTGCAGGTTTGATCCCTAGGGAGACAACCAATCAATGTATGTCTCACATCAATATCTCTCCCTCTGTCCTCCTCCCTTCCTCCCTCCCTCTCTGTCTCTCTCTCTCAAAAAAAAAAAAAAATCAATGGAAAAAGATACTCGGTTGAGGATGAACAAAAATCAAATATTTTTTTAAAAAATTGAAAAAGCCCTAGCTGGTTTGGCTCAGTGGATAGAGCGTCGGCCTGCAGACTCAAGGGTCCCAGGTTCGATTCCGGTCAAGGGCATGTACCTTGGTTGTGGGCACATCCCCAGCAGGGGGTGTGCAGGCGGCAGCTGATGGATGTTTCTAACTCTCTGTCCCTCTCCCCTCCTGGCCCAACCCGACATGGAGCACTCCAACTGCCCTCCTTCTGACGGCCGCCCCTGCCACAGGCTCAAAAGCGCTTTTCCTTCGGAGGCATAATCGCGGGTCCTTTGTGCCCACGGGCCTTCCCCTCTTCGGGGCTTTATCAGATTCTCTGCTGCCCCAGATCTCATTTCCTGGCCAGGGAGCGGGGGAGGGGGGAGAACACTCCAAACGGTGGCTTTCCCTTTCCCCCTGTTCTCTCGGTCCAAGCTGGTGGGTCTTATACATGTGTCAGGCCTCAGCTAGAGATATAAAAGACTTCCTGTCCCCGTGGTCACCATGCCTCCTGGCAGAACCCCGCATTTCCTGCTGTCACACATGCCACTGCACAGCAGCACAAACCACAGAGCATAAATCTCTCCACTTGCATTTGCCAACTGCAACATCGGGCCCCTCCGATGGGAGAAAGGCCCACTGGCGGCCATTCGGCCTGTTCCCTTAGCCTGTTCCCTTGGCCTGCACTCCGTGCTGGCCAGGGGCTGGGCAGGTGGTGGGCACTGGTCAAAGGGCACCGAACGGCAAAGAGAAGGGACTCGGAGCATCCTCACTTCTTTCTCCCTGCCTCCGGGACATGGCATGGAAGTTTACAGATCCTGAGGGCTCTCAGAATGGTGTGGCTATGGCCCTAGCCCGGCAGTCGGCAAACTGCGGCTCGAGAGCCACATGTGGCTCTTTGGCCCCTTGAGTGTGGCTCTTCCACAAAATACCACGTGTGGGCGCGTACCTACTGATTGAAACTTCGTGGTCCATGCGCAGAAGTCGGTTTTCGGTTCTCAATAGAAATTTCAATCGTTGTACTGTTGATATTTGGCTCGGTTGATTAATGAGTTCGCTGACCAGTGCCCTAGCTGGCTTGGCTCTGTGGATAGAGCATCAGCCTGTAGACCCAAGGGTCCAGGGTTCGATTCTTGGCAGGTGCAGGAGGCAACCAGTCTATGTGTTTCTCTCTGTCTTTCCCTCTCTCTTCCACCCTCTCTCAAAATCAATGGAAAAAATATTCTCAGGTGAGGATTAAAAACAACAACAAAACTAGTGTGGCTATGGTCACTTGCAAATACGTCTTTCCCCAGGCCTCATACCCAAAAGGTAGCTATCTATTTATTCCTTGGAATTTGCGCATCTTCTTGGGACTGTCTGCAGCAAACATTCTAGGTCAAGGGTGAGTGGGGAGCCGCAGAGTCTTAAGTTCCTCCTCAGTAGCTCCAGTGGCATGCGCAACAGTCTGCCCTTCTCTCAGCACTGGTTTCATTCTCTTCCCCCAACCCTAGTATTTTTATTCATTTTTATTTTTTAGAAAGAGAGCAAGGGAGAGGGAGAGAGAGAGAAACATTGATGTGAGAGCAAAGCATCAATTGGCTGCCTCCTGCATGCCCCGTAATGGGGATCGAGCTCACAACCCGAGCCTGTGCCCTGACCAGTAATGGAACCAGCAACCTTTGGAGCATGGGGTGACGTCCAACCCACTGAACCACACTGGCCAGGGTTGTTTCTTTCTTGAGCACGTACTAAGCTTTGCCAGATCATCTTATCTCAAGATGGACTCTTTCTAAGAGTTTTACTGCACGAAGGAAAGTTCCTGTCAATTGTTACAGTGGTTGTCAACAGGGCGCTGATGGTTGCAGGCCAGACAGTTCCTGGCCAAGCAAAACTCATTGGTTTGCTGATGTCCTGTAGGGCATTTCATTCTGTGGTTGAGAAACACTGTGATTTAGGTGTGGGGGAAAATGTGTGTGCCTTCCATGTTTAAAAAATAATTCCTTGGGCCTGGAGTTCTCCCCTTTACAGTCAGACATCAGAAAGAATTGGTTGCAAACTCTCTATACTTAAAAAAAATATATATATATATATATATATATATATATATATATATATATATATATATATATATATTGATTTTTTTATAGAGAGGAAGGGAGAGAGATAGAAACATCAATGACAGAGAAACATGGATCAGCTGCCTCCTGCACACCTCCTACTGGGGATGTGCCCGCAATCAAGTACATGCCCTGGACCGGAATCGAACCTGAGACCTTTCAGTCCGCAGGCCCATGTTCTATCCACTGAGCCACACCGGTTTTGGCCCTCTATACTTTTTGTACTTCACATTCATTACTGATCCTTTGACCCTCACTTGAGCTCAAACCCATTTCTTGTTACGCCGTAGCTGTATGACCGTGGGCACATTAGTTCATCTCTCAGATTTTTCAGACATAACATGGACATAAAATAAGAATATCTCCCATAGTATAGTTTTGGAGATTAAAGGGGTTGTGGTAAAAGACTTAGAACATGGTGTTCTCATATAAGAAATCTAACTAGCCGAAACAGGTTTGGCTCAGTGGATAGAGCGTTGGCCTGCGGACTGAAGGGTCCCAGGTTCGATTCCGGTCAAGGGCATGTATCTTGGTTGTGGGCATATCCCCAGTGGGGATGTAAAAGGCTGCTGATCAATGTTTCTCTCTCATTGATGTTTCTAGCTCTCTATCTCTCTTCCTCTCTGTAAAAATTCAATAAAAAAAAATATTTTTTTAAAAGAAAGAAATCTAACTAGCCACGGGTTACTTAATTCTCTTGGAACTCTATTTGCATTTTAATCATCTTGGGGGTATTATAGAAAGATAATCATCAACATCAGATAATGGTAATCCTCTCTCCTCTCCAATGTGTATGGTTTTTCTGATTGAGCAATTCTCTAGAAGTTATATAACAACGTCAGATAATACTGACAACGGTGAGCCCTCATGATTTGCATGTGATTTTAATGTACGATATTGGCTTAGGGGTTGAGATAATGATAAGAAAGCTTCCTTTTTGTTCTTCATTAATAAGGTGTTTTGTGTGTTTTGGGGCATGAGCATAAATACATTTATATTACATGCCTTTGCTGTATTGATTGTATAATTCTGGTCCTTCAACCTGTGGGTGGGAATCCTATGACTACACTCCCCCAAAATGACCCATCCTATCATCATTGAATAAAGCAGACTCCAGACCCAGCCGGTTTGGCTCAATGGGTAGAGCATGGGTTGGATTTCAGTCAAGGGCTTATACCTCTGTTGCAAACTCAACCCCCCCCCCCCTCCATCCCTTCAGGGTCCATGGGGGAGGCAACTAATTGATGTGTCTCTATCACACCGATGTCTCTTTTTTAAAAAATTTTTAAATTGATCTCAGAGAGGAAAGGAGAGGGAGAAAGAGATGGAAACATATGATGAAAGAGAATGGTTAATCCGATGCCACTTGCACGCCCCCTACTAGGGATTGAGCCCCCAACCCGGGCATGTGTCATTGACCAGAATCGAACCCTCAGTCCACAGGCCAACACTCTATCCACTGAGCCAAACTGGCTACGGCTCACATCATTTCCCCCCTCCCCCTCCCTTCCACTCTCTCTAAAAAGCAACGGGAAGATATCTTCAGGTGGGGATTAATAACAACAAAAAAAATAAAGCAGCCAAAACCGGTTTGGCTCAGTGGATAGAGCATCGGCCTGTGAACTGAAGGGTCCCAGGTTCAATTCCGGTCAAAGGCATGTACCTTGGTGGCGGGCACATCCCCGGTGGGGGGTGTGCAGGAGGCAGCTGATTGATATTTCTCTCTCATCGATGTTTCTAGCTCTCTGTCCCTCCCCCGGTGGGGGGTGTGCAGGAGGCAGCTGACCTATATTTCTCATCCATGTTTCTAGCTCTCTGTCCCTCTCCCTTCTTTTCTGTATAAAATCAATAAAACATATTAAGAAAAAGAATGAAGCAGACTTGAAGGTGGCACACTAACAGGGTGGGCTTTGCGTTTCATCGTTCGAACGGCCGATGGACCTTTTGCTGTCCTTGTCATGTAATGGGTGCTTGGCAGAGGGAGAGGCAGGAGGGATTGGATTGGTCCAGTAACTCCTTGTTGCCTTGCTCCCTGCAGGCCTGGCGCAAGCGCTGGTTCGTCCTCCGGCGGGGCCGCATGAGCGGCAACCCCGACGTGCTGGAGTATTACCGCAACAAGCACTCCAGCAAGCCCATCCGCGTGATCGACCTGAGCGAGTGCGCCGTGTGGAAGCATGCGGGCCCTGGCTTCGTCCGGAAGGAGTTCCAGAATCACTTCGTGTTCATCGTGAAGACCACTTCGCGTACGTTCTATCTGGTGGCCAAGACCGAGGAGGAGATGCAAGTGTGGGTCCACAGCATCAGCCAAGTCTGCAACCTCGGCCACCTGCAGGATGCTGCAGGTGAGAGCAGAGTCCGGCTTCCTGGGGCTGCAGGGGTGGCCGGCTAATGTTATTTCTTTTTAAATATATTTTATTTATTTATTTATTTATTTATTTATTTATTTATTTATTTACAGAGAGGAAGGGAGAGGGATAGAGAGTTAGAAACATCGATGAGAGAGAAACATCAATCAGCTGCCTCCTGCACACCCCCTACTGGGGATGTGCCCGCAACCAAGGTACATGCCCTTGACCAGAATCGAACCCGGGACCTTTCAGTCCGCAGGCCGACGCTCTATCCACTGAGCCAAACCGATTAGGGCTGGCCGGCTAATTTATATCAGAACTGTTTCTACCCACCAAAGACAGTACCAGAAATTTCTCCCTTTCACCTGATTTTTTAAAAAATATATTTTTATTGACTTCGAAGAGGAAGGGAGAGGGAGAGATAGAAACATCAATGATGCGAGAGATCATTGATCAGCTGCCTCTTGCGCGCCCCCTACTGGGGATCGAGCCTGCAACCCGGGCATGTGCCCTGACCGGGAATCGAACCGTGACCTCCTGGTTCATGGGTCTAGACTCAACCACTGAGCCACACCAGCCGGGCTCGAAGCCACTCTGTGCCTTTGCTCTCATAAGCCACAGAGAATGCGTTCAGTGAAAGTAAACCCAGGGCGAGGATGTCCTGTATAGAGCGCTGACTTTTCCTGTGCAGCTGCTGCTGCTGATCCTTCGGAAATATTGGTGTCACCGTCTTTCAAAAATGCGTGGAACTCCAGCTTCTCTGTTCCTTATTGGATTGCTTAGGACTAGATGGTAGAAGGCAGAACTTGGCTACTTATTAGAGGTAGGGAAGACTTCCTCAGATCTCCGATTGGCTCAAGGTCTGTGCAAGGGAAATTTGTCCCACTTTAATGCTGGGCCATTTCTGTGCCGTGGGAGTAAATGATTCATAAGGCTCTTTCTCCTTCTCTCTTTATTTTCTCATGCTCTCTTTTTGAAAAGTATATATTTTATTGATTTTTTTACAGAGGAAGGGGGAGGGATAGAGGGTTAGAAACATCGATCAGCTGCCTCCTGCACACCTCCCACTGGGGATGTGCCCACAACCCAGGTACATACCCTTGACCAGAATCGAACCTGGGACCTTTCAGTCTGTAGGCCAACGCTTTATCCATTAAGCCAAATCGGCTAGGGCTCTCATGCTCTCTCTCTCTCTCTCTCTCTCTCTCTCTCTCTCTCTCTCACACACACACACACACACACACACACACACACACACTGCCCTTTCTATGTAATCTATCAAGTGGAATGCCCCTAGGATTACAATTCACTCCCCTTCATGGGTTTTGTGTCGAGCAGCATGCCCTGATCCTCAACCCATCTGATTTCTTAAAAATTATTTTTATTGACTTCAGAGAGGAAGGGAGAGGGGGAGAGAGATAGAAACATCCATGATGATAGAATCATTGATTGGCTGCCTCTTGCACACCCCACACGGGATCAATCCCACAACCCGGACACTGCCCTGACGGGGAATCGAACTGTGACCTCCTAGTTCATAGGTCGCCGCTCAACCACTGAGCCACACTAGCCGGGCCCACCTGATTTCTCGTACCCTTAGTCTGGTAGACAACAACCTTACTCTTGGATCCTGTGGTCAACAGTTGCTTCAACATTTCCACTGTCCCTGTATGCTTAGCACCAGCCGCTGAAGTACCTACATGGAACGCTAGGTGGCGGTGGAGAGTCAGAGCTGCATCTCTGCAACAAGCATGTGAAAGTGTTTCTTCAGGATGAAGTCCCCCCTACCCCCCCCCTTTAAAACAACAACAACAACAACAACAAAATAAACAAAACATATTATTATTGATTTCAGAGAGGAAGGGAGAGAGAGAGAAGCATCCATGATGAGAGAGAACCACTGGTCGGCTGCCTCCTGCACGCCCCCTACTGGGGATTGAGCTTGCATGTGCCCTTGACTGGAATGGAACCCGGGACCCTTCAGTCTACAGGTCAACGCTCTAGCCATTAAGCCAAACCAGCTAGGGCCTTTTTTTTTTTTTTTTTTTTTTTTTCATGGAAGCTTATTAAGTGAGGCTATTCAGGCACATTGTTGGGCTTTGACAGCACTCAGATAAAAGGAAATGAAGTGACGGCGAGCTCTTTGTCCTTGCTACAACAGGCGAAGCTTATTAGTGGGTGGCAGTGAGTGTGCCCTGGCTGGCCTGTCGCATGGCGGGCAAGCAGACTCCCTCTGGCCTTGTCGCTCGCTCCCCGCCACCCTACCTCCAGCCCCAACTAGATATATCTTTGTGTGTCCTGCTATGTGTTTCCTCTCTCCCTTTCCTCGCCCAGGAGTTATCCTACAACAGACATACATAACATGTTTCCTAATATTCAGAGAGGAACAGGAATGAGGAAGGCCCCGGGCAGGAAATGGAAAGCTCTGGCACGAAGCTGGAGGAAGCCAGAAACCCCCTCTGACCTCTTTTATTCCGTGGATCTCCCCTGCGTGTTTAGAAGGATGTGAGGACAGAGTCCTCTTCGCTGGAGAGCCACACCCAAAGTGCGTTCTGTGGCTTTTCACACATCGAGTTGGGTTGTGGCTCCGGCAGCAGGGGCAGGCGGCACATGGTGCAGACTCCGGCCGGGAGCTCTGCTAAATGCTTTTGCACATGAGCTGGTCTCAGCCTAGATCCCTCCTGCGTCTCCGCTGTACGGGGAGGGAACTCGGAGCAGGAAGCTAAATTGCCCACGTTCACGACAGCTAGACAGCAGAGCCTGGACTTGAACCCGGGTCGTTCTGAGTCACCCTGCCTCCGGAGTTCTGAACTCCTGCCAGCTTGGTTCAAAGGGGAAGTAGAAGCAGGCTTTTCGTTGGGAGTCTCTGGATGTTATGCTCCTTGAGAGATGTGGGCTACACTAACCATCACAACGCCCCATTTCCCCCTTCCTGTTCCTTCTACGTCACTAACACTCTATCATCAACAGTGTCCTTTATTTATGTGTCACTTGTCTGTCTCCTGGGGAGGACAGTAAGGGCAGAGTCTCTGTCTCGGCTGAATTGGCAAAGTTGAAACAGTTCTGGGTCCATATTAGGTGCAAAGTAGGTGTCCCATATAGAGGGGTGGGCAAAACTTGTTTAAAGTTGTTTGCATGGAAAAGATATAAGAATAAATAATTATACAAGGATAAATTTGCCTAGCCAGCATGGCCCAGTGGTTGAGCCTCAAGCCATAAACCAGGGGCATATACCCAGGTTGTGGGCTCGATCCTAGGTGTGGGGTGTGCAGGAGGCAGCTGACCAATGATTCTCTCTCATCATTGATGTTTCTATCTCTCCCTCTCCCTACCTACCTGAAGTCAATAAAAATATATTAGAAAAAATAATAATAAGCTAAGTTTTCCATGCTCACTACCGTAAATGTACTTTCGCCTGTTCTTGTAGACATAGACATCTATACATGTGTACATACACTGCGTGGCCAGATTATTATGATCTCTGAACACATAATTATCTGCCCACACAGTGTGTGTGTGTGTGTGTGTGTGTGTGTGAATATATTATGTATGTATATTAGTATGTATATTAGTATGTATATTAGAGGCCTCTAATATATATGTATGTATATTAGAGGCCCAGTGTTTAAATTTGTGCATGGATGGGGGACATTTGCAGTTGGCTGGCCTGCCTGCCAATCGAATTCCTGGTCACAGGGACAATTTGCATAGTAGCCTTTTATTATATAGGATATACACTGAGTGGCCAGATTATTATACGTTCAGAGATCATAATAATCTGGCCACTCAGTATACATAAAAATGCATATGTAAGTACACACATAGTACATACATATGTATCTGACATGCATAAATACACACACACACACACACACACACACATATATATATATATATAAATTTTTTTTGACTGAATAAATAGTGATGCAGGCCTGAGGCTGCAGGCCATAAAGAAGCTGTGTGTAGACTATTTAACTGCAGATTTTTATACCATGAATGCTTGGGGTGGTTTTTTTTTCCCCCTCTTAATTGATTCAACACTTCACTCTTGGAACATTGGCCCCCTTTCCCAGACATTGTTTATAGCTTGGGGAAATGGTCTCCTCCATCAGTACAAACACCAGCTGTGATTTGCATCTTCTCTTTGGCTTCTTGAAATGCTGTTTGAGAAATTGCTGGTGAGTGTTCTAGCCATTCCTAACCGTTAACCTGGGAAATGATTCCTCCGGCAGATTCCGTGGAGAGCCTCACTCACACGCCCTCCTCCCTCCAGCCGTCCCCTGCCAGCTTCCTCCACACCGCCCATGCTGTCAGCTCCCCCTTGCCAAGAGATGACCCACACTCTACTACCATAGCCACCGAGGAAACCAGAAGTGAGTCAGAGCTGCTCTTCCTTCCTGATTATCTGATTCTGTCCAACTGTGAGAGTGGAAGACTGCACCACGCCAGGTATGCTCATGCGCCGGACTCTGAGCCAGGCCTCTCCCACGCTCTCTCCTGTTTGCAGAGCCCAGATGGCCTCCTCTTGCAGGGCCTGTCACTGAGATATGCTCAGTGCGCCTGCCCGAGTCAGCCCGTTCAGCTGTAGCATCTCCCAGTGGGTGGGTGTGCCCTCGCTTCTCTTTCTGCGACTGACAAGGTGGGGTCAGATCACTGTCAACCGCTAGGAAGGGTGAAGCATGTGTTACACTCAACAAAATGAGTCATAGATGTCAGCATTGTGGCTTTCACTTCTAACCTTGCATTTTCTTTTTAAAAAAAATACATTTTACTGATTTTTTTACAGAGAGCAAGGGAGAGGGATAGAGAGCTAGAAACATTTATGAGAGAGGATCATCGATCAGCTGCCTCCTCCACACCCCCTACTGGGGATGTGCCCCAACCAAGGTACACGCCCTTGACCGGAATCGAACCTGGGACCTTTCAGTCCACAGGCCGACGCTCTATCCACTGAGCCAAACCAGTTAGGGCTTTTCTTTTCTTTTCTTTTCTTTCTTTCTTTCTTTCTTTCTTTCTTTCTTTCTTTCTTCCTTCCTTCCTTCCTTCCTTCCTTCCTTCCTTCCTTCCTTCCTTCCTTTCTTTCTTAGGGCTTTTCTTTCCTTTCTTTCTTTCTTTCTTTCTTTCTTTCTTTCTTTCTTTCTTTTTAAAATACATTTTATTGATTTTTTACAGACAGGAAGGGAGAGAGATAGAGAGCTAGAAACATCGATGAGAGAGAAACATTGATCAGCTGCCTCTTGCACACCCCTCACTGGGGATGTACCCGCAACCAAGGTACATGCCCTTGACCGGAATCGAACCCGGGACCTCTCAGTCCGCAGGCCGACGCTCCATACACTGAGCCAAACCGGTTAGGGCTAACCTTGCATTTTCATATTTCAAAAACCAACTATTTTATTTCTGCACCCAGGGGTTGGTGTGGCTGAGGGTTGTAGAGGGAATGTAGCTACAGAAGTCAAATAAAAGCTGATCACTGAGGATCGGAGAGTGAGGCCCCCTGGGTTTCGTGGAGGGTGGATGGCATTCTCCTTCAGACTTCTGCCAAGTCTATCAGCAGTGTCGCCGTGGGACCGACTACAGCGGCCAGACACCCACCTGCTCCATTGCTGTCAAATGTTCATGCTTTTCTTCCCTCAGTTTACCCACCAGATGTGACAGCTGGTCCAACTCAGACCGCTCATTGGAACAGACTTCGTTCGATGATGTTTTTGTTGACGGCCTGCAGACGCTGCCCTACATTAACCTGGTCCACCCCTCAGCCCAGCGGAATGGGTCTCAGGAGGCGCCTCCCACAAGGCCGCAGGCTGCCCTGACCTGGAGCAGAGATATCAATGGGCCGGCCAGGGACCACTTTGCCTCACCATTGCTGGAAACTTCCTTACATCCCACCCTCCGCGTAGATAAAAGCCAACGCTCCTTACCCTTCGGAGTGAAAGAACTAGACCTGGTGGCCACCAGGCCACCTCCCCGCCCGCCTAAGCCACTTCATCTCTCTGAACGGCGCCGTGAGGAGCAGCTACTGTGGGGTGGGCACAGCAGCTTCAGGAAGCCAGAATGCACTGCGGCGCCGAGAAGGATCTCCCTCTCGGGGTTAGATAACGTGAGAACCTGGAAAGGTAAGTGTTGGATGCAAATATTGAGGTACAGAGAGAAGCCCAGCTCCTCTTTTAAAAAAATATCTTTATTGATTTCAGAGAGGAAGAGAGAGAGAAACATCAATGAGGAGAGAATCATTGATTGGCTGCCTTCAGCCCGGGCATGCGCCCTGACCGGGAATTGAACCGTTGACCTGGTGCGTGGGACTACGCTCAACCAACTGAGCCACACCGGACAGGAACTTCATGTGCACTAGCACGTCTAACCTTTCCAGCAGTCCTATGCAGTAGATTGCATTATTGATCTGATTTTACAGATTACAGAATTGAGACACAGACAGTGTAAGTATCTTATCCAGTGTCACACAGCTAATCAGTGGTGGGAAGTAGAGATTTTAAACTCGACAGTGTGACTGCAGAACAGCTTTTACCCCCCCCCCCCCCCCCCCGGGGCTTCTGCAGCCTCGAAGACATAGATGCATACATACGTACTTACATGTGCATATATAATACATATTCTTAATTCTTAATCTCTGTCACATCTTTGACTCTGGTTTATTTCTCTGAGACAGGCTGACCTTTTTTTAATTTTTTAAAATATATTTTATTGATTTTTTACAGAGAGGAAGAGGAAGAGAGAGGGAGAGAGAGTTAGAAACATTGATGAGAGAGAATCATCGATCAGCTGCCTCTTGCACACCCCTTCTGGGGATATGCCCGCAACCAAGGTACGTGCCCTTGACCAGAATCGAACCTGGGACCTTTCAGTCTGCAGGCCGACGCTCTATCCACTGAGCCAAACCGGTTTCAGCCTGACCTTTTTTTATTTTTTAAAATATATTTTATTGATTTTTTACAGAGAAGAAGGGAGAGGGATAGAGAGTCAGAAACATTAATGAGAGAGAAACATCGATCAGCTGCCTCCTGCACACCCCCTACTGGGGATGTGCCTGCAATCAAGGTACATGCCCCTGACCGGAATCAAAACCAGGACCCTTCAGTCCGTAGGCCTACACTCCAGCCACTGAGCCAAACCGGTTTTGGCCAGCCTGACCTTTGACATCTCTAATTTCTCGGGGGACACTTGGCTCTGGTCCGCATGTGCTAAAAGCACTCGCCTCACTTGCCACCAGCAGTCAGCGTTGTTGGCCGTTCTCTCCTTCCTTAGTCTGGAAGACCCTGCCCCTGACTCTCCTCATGATCCTGTGATGGCACCGTTGGAATGAGCCACTGCTCATCCTCCTGTTCTTTGAATATTGGGACTTGCTGGGTTTTACACTTAACATGTGCAGCCTAGAGAATCTCATCTACTCTTATGGCTTCGGTTGACATCTTGAAACTAATTCCCAAACATCATATTTCATTAGAGTCGAAATTCATGCAAGGGGCTCGGCCCTCACAGCTCCAGGTTCATCCAGAAGGTCATCCGGGTGGTTGTGTGGACAGTCATTCTGCTGTTCGGTCTAATTAGCATATTAGCTCTTTATTATATAGGATTAGAGTCTAGCTCTAGACCAAGAGTGGGGAACGTCTGGCCTAAGGACTGTATAAGGCCCGAGAAGTTCTTTGCTCTGGCCCAGCTAAGGCCTGAGGGGTAAGTTAGTTAAATGTTTGACCAAAGACAGCAGGGTCATTTTTAAGTTGATAACTTTGTGTGGCCGTGAATAAAGTTATAAATATCCAAATTTCCCTTGGCAGGAAAAAGGTCCCCCATTCCTAGTCTAGACCCACGTATCTTGCTGCCTTAGAGACATCACCTTTTATTATTTTTTTTACATAGTTACAAACATTTAAAAAATATATTTTATTGATTTTTACAGAGAGGAAGGGAGAGGGATAGAGAGTTAGAAACACCAATGAGACAGAAACATCGACCAGCTGCCTCTTGCACACCCTCTACTGGGGATGTGCCCACAACCAAGGTACATGCCCTTGACCGGAATCAAACCTGGGACCTTTCAGTCCACAGGCCAATGCTCTGTCCACTGAGCCAAACTGGTCAGGGCAAGTTACAAACATTTTAAACATATTTTTATTAAATAGTGGTGATTGGTATAAGTTCAGGTTTTGTTCTTAATGTTCTTAGCACAATAAAAAGTCAGCAACTCCATGTTGGTCACTAACTTTATTTTTTGACTTTATTTTTTTAAAAAAAATTTTCCTTCTTTTTAAACTTTACTTTTTTTATGGACATCTCTTTCAGTTCAACTAGTATTCTACATTTTGATGTCACACCCATCTGACAAGTTTCTAATTTGGTCTTAATTCAACTTGCCTCTCTCTCCACGCCTGTGCTTGCCTAGCTGACTATTGCTGCACAGAATCACAGTCTCCAGTTCATGGTCACAGATCTCAAATGAGCCCTCAGTGCTGCTGGCAATACCATCACTTCCCTGTTCACTCTGCTCTCCTGGTCAGCACCAGGGGTGTCTAACACCTTCTCTTCTCTCCTCAACCCCCCAGTTCTGTCTCCGTCATCTCTAAGCTCAGAAACTTGATGTAATAAATACAACAAGCATTTGTCAATGACATGCCACATATCTTCCTAACTCACAGAGACAAATGAAGCTATCATACACAAGCTTCTTCCAAATCTGATCTGATTTCCATCTGTTGGCCCAACTAGACTTGCTATATAGAAACTGTTATGCTTCTCTGCCTCTTGGGAGCTGAGGCCAGGGTCCCACGGTGTTAAATCTTTTTATTGATTTCAGAGAGGAAGGGAGAGGGAGAAGGAGAGAGAGAGAGAAACACCAATGATGAGAGAGAATCATGGATCAGCTGCCTCCTGCATTCTCCACACTGGGGATCAAGCCTCAACCCGGACATGTGCCCTGACTGGGAATCGAACCTGGTTTGGAGGTCAGTGCTCAATCACCGAGCAATGCTGGCCCGGCCTGGACCCTAGTTTAAAGGGATATTGTCCTGAATAACTCACCACCCCATCTTGTTTCTTACAGCTGATGCAGAAGGCCAATCCTTAAGACACCGAGACAAGCGGCTGAGTTTAAATTTGGTGAGTTTGGCCCTTTGAGTTCCTTTAAGCCCTTGAAGTCTTTTTTTTTTTTTTTTAAATTAAATATATTTTATTGATTTTTTTTTTACAGAGAGGAAGGGAGAGAGATAGAGAGCCAGAAACATCAATGAGAGAGAAGCATCGATCAGCTGCCTCCTGCACACCCCCAACTGGGGATGTGCCCACAATCAAGGTACATGCCCCTGACCGGAATCGAACCTGGGACCCTTCAGGTCTCTATCTAGTAAGCCAAACCTGCCAGGGCCCTTGAAGTCTTTTGACACTCTGAATCTCAGGACCATTCCAGTCTCTAATTAAGGCTTGAATTTGTTTAGAAACTGCGTTCTGTAAGGATGCTGCCGATTCCAATGGTTCAGACACCTGCCTGACTCAGGGGAGCTGCTAAAGGCATCCCTTTATTTTTAATTGTTGTTTCGTTTCATTTTATTTAGAAAGGCTAATCATAGCCATTTGTCAATATTTTCAGCTTTAAGGAAAATAGTATCAAAAACATCAAAATGTTAATACACTCGAGTCACTGCCATTAAACAGTCTGAGCAGGCAGCGGATGTGGACTCTCTGAAGGCATCCCTCTGTACTGAAAGCATTTGCACCCATTCATAATCGTCTGTCTTCCATAAGGTGACCAGACGTCCCGCTTTTGGCGGGACTTTTTTAAAACGCCGCGGGATGTGGGACCAATTGTTGAAAATCGGGACTGTCCCGCCAAAAGCGGGACGTCTGGTCACCTTAGCAGCGTTAGCTCTCACACAACGCGTCCAGGAGCTCGAGTAAGAGGCTCGCCTGAACTCCCTAAGGAAGTTCAGAGTCATTCTGGGGGCATTGGCAACCGAAACCCTGTGCCCCCCCCCCCCCCCCGTCAGCCGTTTCCATGACTACCCTGCGGTTTCCAACCTGCACCTGTTCTTCTGCAGCCGAGCAGGTTCTCCCCGATGTACCCCCCGACGTCAGCCAGCGCCGAGGACGGCTACGTGCCCATGGGCCCCCACGTCGCCGCTGCTTGTCTCCGAACCCCATGCAGCCCCGACGACTACATCCCCATGAGCTCCGGAAGCCTCGTGAGCCCCCTGCCCAAGCTCCCTCCGGACCTGGAGCCTCCGCCGGTGAACAGAGATCTCAAGCCTCAGAGGAAACGTAAGCCGTGTGGCCGGGCCTGCTGTGCAGTTGAGGGGAGCGGCCATGGGGGGTTTCCTTCCTGACTCTCTCTGGGAAGGAAGCACAAGAAGAACCATCCTAGAGTAAGGTGACCAGACATCCCGCTTTTGGCGGGACGGTCCCGATTTTTACCAGTTTGTCGGGACTTTTTACAAATGCCGCGGGACAAATTGGTAAAAATCGGGACGTCTTAGTCACCTTATCCTAGAGGACTGGCAGGTTTCAGGGTGAGGAGAAATGACTGGAATTAAAGGGGAAGGCCCGGGGAACCTTGCTGCCCCAGGTTACTATGGTTAAAGGAGCCAGCGGGTTTACAGGCTGCGTGTACAGCCTCCAAAGCCAAAGTTCATTCCAGAGGCAAATGGACCAGAAAGAAATGATGGTGGATGGGAATGGAACCTACCAGGTGTCTCTTATTTATTTAAAAAATATATATTTTATTGATTTTTTACAGAGAGAAAGGGAGAAGGAGAGGGAGAGGGATAGAGAATTAGAAACATCGATGAGAGAGAAACATCGATCAGCTGCCTCCTGCACACTCCCTACTGGGGATGTGCCTGCAACCAAGGTACATGCCCTTGACCAGAATCGAACCTGGGACCCTTCAGTCCCCAGGCGGATGCTCTATCCACTGAGCCAAACCGGCTAGGGCAAGGCGTCTCTTATTTAAAATAGCACCTGAATGTCTTCACATTTCCCTCCTCCTACAAGGCAGCCGAGAATGGCCTTTGATACTAATTTATTTTTTCTTTTTCTATTTAAAATATATTTTATTCATTTTTCACAGAGAGGAAGGAAGAGGGATAGGGAGTTAGAAACATCGATGAGAGAGAATCATCAACCAGCTGCCTCCTGTACACCCCCTACTGGGGATGTGCCCGCAACCTAGGTGCATGCCCTTGACCAGAATCGAACCTGCGACCCTTCAGTCTGCAGGCCGATGCTCTATCCATTGAGCCAAACCGGTTAGGGCCACTAATTTCTTTCTTTCTTTCTTTTTAAAAAAATAATATGTTTTTATTGATTTGAGAGAGAGAGAGGAAGGGAGAGAGAGAGGGAGAAGGAGAGAGAGAGGGAAATATCAGCAGGCTATCTCCTATACGCCCTCTCCTGGGGATTGAGCCCGCAATGTGGGCATGTGCCCTGACCAGGAATCAAACCGGCAGCTTTTCTTCGATGCGTGGGGCGATTGATGCTCAACCAACTGAGTCTCACTAGCCAGCGCTGACACTAATTTCTGAATGTGAGCCCTGATCACATACCACTTATCAGTCAGTGCCCTGTGCATGCCTTGCGGCTGAGTTGTTTCAGGTGGCAGAAGACTTTGGCCATGAGCAGTCCGGCTCCTGTGAGCACATAGCTCCCTAACGCCTGTGCATTGCTCCAGGCAGCCTCTCTTGTCTGCTGAGCAGCACGGCCAGGCAGGGAGACAGGGGCAGGGGGAAAGAGGAGAAGCAGGCCCAAGTCCCTTCCTTTCTTTCTTTCTTTCTTTCTTTCTTTCTTTCTTTCTTTCTTTCTTTCTTTCTTTTAAAATATATTTTATTGATTTTGTATAGAGAAGAAGGGAGTTAGAGAGAAACATCGATGAGAGAGAGTCATCGATCAGCTGCCTCTTGCACACCCCCTACTGGGGATATGCCCACAACCAAGGTACATGCACTTGACTGGAATCGAACCCGGGACCCTTCAGTCCCCAAGCCAATGCTCTATCCACTGAGCCACACCGGTCTCAGCCCAAGTCCCTTTCTAACTTCATACCCGCCCACTGTCACCTGCCCGGTACCGATCACAGCCCCTCACATCTGGTACATCCCCCCCTCTTTGTCCTCTGGGAGAACTGCTCCTTCAGGCGGCCGTGCCCAAAGCTGGTAACTGAATCCCTTACTCATGTCTGGTCCCTTCCAGTCGCACCCGTTCAATTTGAGTCAAATCACATTTACAGTGAGTATCGTGCTATTCTGGGCACGGGGTGGGATGCAGAGATGAGGAAGCGAGGAGGGCTCTTCAGTCTGGGAGGAAAGAAGATATATAAAAAACATCTGGAAGAAGAAGAAGAATTATGAGGCCTGTGCTAAATAGGAGAACAGACCCTGTCTTAAGAGGTTCAGAGGAAATAACCATTCATTCTGGTCAGAAGCTATTTAGCAGGGACCTGGAATTCTGAGGTGGATGTTATCCTTTTGTTTGGTTGATTTTCTATAGCAATGCTGTCCAACAGAACTCTGTGTGGCTAGTGCAACTGAGAAAGTGAATTTTAAATTTTATTTAATTAAAAAAATATATTTCTATTGATTTCAGAGAGGAAGGGAAAGGGAGAGATAGAAACATCAATGATGAGGATCATTGTTCAGCTGCCTCTTGCACACCCGCAACCTGGGCACGTGCCCTGACTAGGGATCAAACTGTGACCTCCTGGTTTACAGCTCAGTGCTCAACCACTGAGCAGCACCAGCCGGGCAGCAGGCTACTTTTTTAAGTTGATAATTTTGTATGGCCCACGAATAAATATGAATATCGAAATGGCCCTTGGCAGAAAAAAAGGTTCCCAACCCCTGACTTAGACTCACGCCTGACATAGTATAATGTGTCCTTACTAAGTGTATATTGACTAAGTGTCTGGCCTCATTGTCACCTCCAGCTAGTCATGTGACCATTTGCTCAGTGAGGCAGGAAAGAGTAGGACAATGAAATTCATACCCGTCATCGGTGTTGCTTATTCGTCCATTTGCATTCGATGTGCTAGCCAAGTGCAATGTGAGAGTTTTAGAGTCTTTAGATTCTGGCCTTGAACTCCTGAGAACTTACCCTCCTGCATGTTGTGTGTGTTATCTTGCAGCCCGGCCACCTCCACTAGACCTGAGAAACCTGTCTACCATCCGGGAACATGCTTCTCTAACCAGGACCCACACTGTGCCTTGGTAAGTCTCTGATTGCTCAAAGGGCCTCCTCAGCACAGACATGCCCAGTCTTGGTGTTGGGCCTCTCCCGTTAAACGTAGTTGAAGCACACTTGATGTAGCTTAAACAAAAGGAGGTACAGGGTTCATGATCACAAGCCAGAAGCAATTGTAGGTCACAAAGGAATATAACGGCCTCTCAAGATACTGGAATCAGGAACAGAATGCTGACGGGAACCCAAGGAATCTCTCTCCATCTCTCACGTTTACTTCTCTCTTCGCATTTGCTTGTTCCTCTTTCTTTGAAGAACTATTCTTTGTTGCACAGTCCTCATGGCCACAAATAGCTGACCCGTAGATCCGGACCTTATTTGCATGCTACAAAATCCGCTATCAGCAAAGATAGGCTCTTTTCTTTTGAAATATATTTTTATTGATTTCAGAGAGGAAAGGAGAGGGAAAGAGAGAGAGACATCAATGATGAGAATCATGGATCGGTTGCTTCCTGCACGCCCCACACTGGGGATCAAGCCAGCAACCTGGGCATGAGCCCTGACTGGGAATTGAACCGTGACCTCCTGGTTCATAGCTCGACACTCAACCACTGAGCCACACTGCCCAGGCTCCTAGTTATTTTGAATGGAAACAAGAGAACCCCAAAGGAGGAGTGTTTTTTTTTTCTAAATGATCTGATGCCTTGGTCTGTTTCTAGAAAGCTCATGAGCTGTGTCACGAGGAGGGCCTGGAGAAAAAATAACCTTTGAGAATTGGGAGTCATTTGCCCCAGGGTAGGACAGAAGCTGCTGGGCAGTCTCTACTGCTTTAAGAATTGCTTTGGCCGGAAGGAAGTTGTATCTGGAAGGGGAGGGCTGAAACCCCACAGGGGCCATGTCAGTTCCTGGCTGGCTTTCAGAGCAGCTGTAAGACATTGCTTTGACCTCATCTATATTTTTGTTCTTAGCAATCGGACCAGCTTTCTCTCTCCAGGAAGAAACGGTATTAATTCTGCAAGATTTTTTGCCAATTCTGTTTCCAGAGACGAGGAAGAAAGCTACATCCAGATGGTAATCCCATATTTTTCATACTCTTCTTAGTCTTCACTCTAAGCTATATTCTAAGAGTTCATTAGGAAGGAAACATATACCTCAGAAAGCCCCATACAATCTTAATACAGTCACTTTTCTGTAACAGGCTGCAGTGTTTTCTAGACTGTGAACAAATCGTTTGAAAGTGGTATTTTCCCCTGCGATATTTAGTTCCTTGTGCCATTTTGAGGCCACCGTATTTAAGAGTATCCAGGGTTTAGGCATGTGCCATGAGAGCCACGGTTTGCCGATCTGTTGACTAATGAGTTTGTCCTAGACTCTCGATTCCAATAATTACAGGCTGTTGTTCTTGTGATGAAGCCCCTATCCTGGTGATCAGCAAACTCATTAGTCAACAGAGTGGCAAACTGTGGCTCACGAGCCACCGCAGTGTGCAGACCACTGTCCTATTGGATCCCAATAGGTGTGTAGTTCCCTGGATATCCAAAAACTAGGCTGTAAAAACTCACACGTTGGATGGTTCCCTCCACCAGACCACAGGTGACCCCCCACTGACTGCCCCGAACCTTCCAAAGGATGAATCACTTAAGAGTCCCATTGAGTGGGGCTGCCTTGGGCTTTGCAAATGCCTTCCTCTTCGGAGACTCCTGTGATACAGGTCTTTCTGTAGATCTCAGTGGATAGAGGCTTGACATGTCTTTTTTAAAATGTATTTTATTTATTTGAGAGAGAGAGAGAGAGAGAGAGAGAGAGAGAGAGAGAGAGAGAGAAATGTCAATGATGAGAGAGAATCATTGATCAGCTGCCTCCTGCACACCCCCCACTGGGGATCAAGCCCGTAATCCGGGCATGTGCCCTGACCAGGAATTGAACCATGACCTCCTGGTTCATAGGTCGATGCTCAAGCACTGAGCCACACCGGCTGGGCTAGAGATCTGACATTTCTGTCCTTTGATGAACCATTTATAGTTCTAGTCCTAACCTCTCCCTCCTGCCCTCTCATATCCGTTCTATTCTCTTTAGCTTGGATTCTTAGTTCAATATTTGAGAGCATGGGTTTTGAAGAGGAGAAGGGGCTTTCGCACCCCTGACAATTATCAGACCCTTTACCTGGAACTGTGCCATTCCACAATTTAAAAAAGATTAACCGAAGAATTTAATATGCATATATGCGGAGCTTATAGACACAGACAATAGTGTGGGGAAGGCCTGGGGTGGGGTGGGGCCTGGGTGGTGGTGGGAAGTAGGAGAACCGCCTGTAATACTGTCGACAACCAATAAATTTTAAAAATAAAATAAAATGTAGGAACTCTAGAAATAATTCTCTAGAGGGAATCTCTGAACTCTGAAAATTTGAAAGGGGATCTTGGACAGTGTTCAAGGCAATGTGATTTTATATATTTTTAAAATATATATATATTTATTATCTCTGAGAGGAAGGGAAAGGGAGAGAGAATCATCAGTGATAAGAGAAGATCATTGGTTGCCTGCCTCCTGCATGCCCCCTACTGGGGATGGAGCCCACAACCCACTTATGTGCCCTGACCAAGATCAAACTGGGAATCGAACTGTGACCTCCTGATTCATAGTTCGATGCTCAACCACTGAGCCATGCCAGCCCGGTGCCCTATATACCTCTGAGAAGACAGTTCTGCCCTCCTGTACATGAGGATAATACGCAATTCAGAATCTGAACACAGTGATCTCCAGTGAAGCAGTAATTAAAGGCTTTATTTTGGCTTTCTGTTAGATAAAAATTGCGCTGTAAGTGCACTTAACCATATGCAGATGGAAAGTGACTCATATACAAATGTGCTGTGATCTTCCCAATGTTTTTCACACTTAGTAATGGCCCTTGGGAAGTTTGTAGAAGAAAACACTCTTATAAAGAAAGGATGCTGGACCAGCTGTGCTCTGTCTCCAGAGAACAGAAAAGGGAAGTGAATCTATAACAAACTAGAAGCAAGTGCACAGGCATTCCAGAGACTAGCAGCTCATTTCTGATCTCTGAGTTTGTGAGAAAGACCAGTGAGCCCCTGGTAACCTCTATTCTACTTTCTGTCTTTGTAAATTTGCCTATTCTAGGTACCCTAATGAGAGAGGAATATGCTAATTATCCGTTACGCCTTGAGGTGTTAACGACTGACCATGTCAGGAATGGCTGCACAACGATCAGATCATGGATCAGCAGAAGGGTGGGGTAATGAGCAACAAGTGGGCGGCAGAGAGCTACAGGAGGGGGCAGGGCAGCAAGCTATGAGGGGGAGCAGGAGTGGGGGGTTGGGGGAGCTTATAGGAGGGCAGGGCAGCAGGCTGAGAGCTACAGGAGGGCAGCAGCGACCTACTGGTGCACGGATTCCTGCACAGGGCTGCTAGTCTCATATAAGTGGAATCATAACAATATTGTCCTTTTGCATCTGCCTTCTTTCATTTAGCATAGTATTTTTAAGACTCATCCCTCTTGCAGCGTGTATCAGAATTTCAGTTTTGAAGGCTAATAATCCATTGTATGCACACACCACTTATTGTCTACCTGTTCATCTGTTGGTAGACAATTGGGTTGTTTCTGCCTGTTGGCTATTCTGAACAATGCTGCTGTGAACATTGGTGTACAAGCATCTGTTTAGATCTCGGCTTTCAATTCTTTCAGATACATACTTAGAGCTGGAATTGCTGAGTCCCATGGTAATGTATGCATAATTTTTGAGGAACCACCAAACTGTTTTCCAGTGGCCAAACCATTTTATATTCCCAACAGCTATGCAAAATGGTTCCAGTTTCTCTACATCCTCACCAACACTTGGTATTCCCATTTTTTGTTTGTTGGTTTTATATAATGGCCATCCTGAGGTGTGTGAAGTATCTCATTGTGGTTTTCATTTGCATTTCTCTAATAACTACTGATGTGAAGCACATTTTCATGTGCTTAGATCTTCTTTGGAGAAATGTCTAATTGAGCTCACTGGTCGTCGTCTTCTTCTTCCTCTTCTTCTTCTTCTTCTTCTTCTTCTTCTTCTTCTTCTTCTTCTTCTATCAGCTGCCTCTTGCACACCCCCTACTGGGGATATGCCCGCAACCAAGGTACATGCCCTTGACCAGAATCGAACCCGGGATCCTTCAGTCCCCAAGCCGACGCTCTATCCATTGAGCCAAATCGACAGAAAAGACTAATTTTTCTTAAGTAGTCAGAGAAACCTGATAATGACAAAACATAGAATCCTTTTCTAGGCAGATTATATTAAAGCAAAGTAAAACCTTTGTTTATAATTTTTAAAAAATTGAGTTAATTTTTGTATATTATCTAATGTTAGGGTGAAACTATCATTCTTTTGCATGTGGATATCCAGTTTTCCCTGCATTATTTGTTTGAAAGACTGCCCTCTCCCCGTTGCTGGTCTTGGCACCTTCCTGAAAATTAATTAACCACATGTGTGAAGGTTATTCTAGACTCTTTATTCCATTCATTTGTATGTCTGTCCTTATCCCAGTATGACAGTTTTGATTACTACAGCTTTATAGCAAGTTTTTAAATTAGGAAATGTTGGTCCTTCAATTTTACTCTTTCTTCTCAATATTGACTGGGCTCCTTGATATTCCATGTGAATTTTAGGATGGATTTTTCCATCTTTTGCAAAAAATGCCATTGAGATCTTGATAGAGAATGCTTGGAATCTATGGATTGCTTTGGCTAATGTTGTAATCTCAATCATTAAACCTTCCTATCCTCCAATCCATGAATATAGGATGTCTTTCCATTTATTTACGTGTGCTCAACTTCCTTTCTGTAATGTTTGGTAGTTTTCAGTGGATAAGTCTGTCCCGTTGGCTACATTTATTCCTAAATATTTTATTCTTTTTGATGCTATTGTTAATTAAGTGCTTTTCTTAATTTCCTTTTCATGATTGCTCATTGTTAATGTATAGAAATGCATTCAAATTGAGGGTGAATCCTTGCTGAGTTTATTATTATTTTGAGTGGAATCTTGAGAGTTTTCTATATATAAGACCATGTTATCCGCAAACAGGTTACTTTGCTGCTTCTTTCCAAGTTCGGATGCCTTTCATTTCTTTTTCTTGCCTACTTGCTTTCCAATATTTTGTTGGATAGAAATTTTTCTGCAGGTGCATGAATGCTCAAGGCACCATTTCTTATAACTGGAAGCAACTCAAATGTCATTGGTAGTGAAACAGTTAAGTCATGCAATGGAATCCTCTATTCCAATGAAAATGAACCAAATAGGGCTACTGCATGGACATGGGTGAATGTGAAGTATGTAATATGATGCCAAAATGGAAGCCACCAAAAATGCATACCATATGGTTCTATTGATAGAAGTTCAAAACAGGCAAAACTACCAGTTAAATAATATGTGACTTCAGGACAGTACTTAAACACTCACAAAAACCATATTTAAAAAAGAAAAGGAGTGGGAAGCACCAAATTCAAGAGAGTGCTTAAACTTTAGGGGGGAGAGAAGGAGGTGTAAGGGAGAATAGGCGCTTCATGGCTATTGGTAATATTCCAATTGTGAAGCTGGTGGTAAGTCCGTGGGTGAGTGTTACATCCATGTTATCATTGTATCGTATATAGTAGTAACTATAAGTGCAATTGGAGTGACTTTACTAGAGCTTTAGTAAGTGTGGTTGATCTTTTCAGGATTTAATCTCTAAGGTATCATGGGCCTGACAGATCCATAAACCAAATTCTTCTTGGGGGAAGATTTTGGCTGTTTCCTTTTTTAAATTTTATTTTTTATTGATTTCAGAGAGGAAGGGAGATGGAGAGAGAGATAGAAACATCAATGATGAGAAAGAATCATTGATCGGCTGCCTCCTGCACACCCCCTACTGGGAATCGAGCCTTACAACTTGGGCTTATGCCCTAACTGGGAATCGAACCATGATCTCCTGGTTCATTGGTTGATGCTCAAACCACTTAGCCAAACTGGCTGGGCCTGGCCAACTGTTTTCATGGTGAATAAAGGGATAGCTTCACCTGAAGACTGGATTGGCTATTTTTTTTTATTTCAAATGCCTCCTGTCACTCCAACATGCAGGATGAGCTGCACAGGGCTCATCAGACTAGTCTGTTCTGATCTGACCACAGCTGCTCAAATGAAGACATGGCTCACCCTCCTTCCTTTGGTAGCCTGGCCAGACATTGTTGACCTGAGTCTGTGATGTTGGTTCCTAGGAGGAACAGCGAACAGGCAACTCTCTGAGTGGTGGTTCTGTGATGTGGACAAAGAAATGCAGCCTGGATTACTTAGCCCTGGACTTCAATTCATCGTCACCAGCTCCTGTACAGCAGGTAGGATGGACTTTATGTCTGAGAATTCCCAGATTTCATTTCTGTTCAGATTTTTCTGATGATTCAACCATGTGTGTTCTCTTTGCAAAATCTTAAGCATACAGACATGTACAGTGAAGAATATTAAAACCAATCCTGATTCTGCCTCCCAGAAATCCTGCTGTATTCTCTCTAGGTTATATTCTTTGGATGTATAGGCAGACCTGTGTGTGTGTGTGTGTGTGTGTGTGTGTGTGTGTGTGTGTTTGTGTATTATTTCAGAGAGGAAGGGAGGGAGAGGAAGAGAGGGATAGAAACATCAATGATAAAAGAGAATCATTGATTGGCTCCTCCTGCAAGCCCCCTACTGGGGATCGAGCCCACAACCTGGGTATGTGCCCTTGACTGGAATTGAACCTGGGACCCTTCAGTCTGCAGGTTGACACTCTACTGAGCCAAACCGGCTAGGGCTAGGCAGACCTGGTTTTATTGCACTTCACTTTATTGCGCTCCACAGATGTGTTTTAGACCAGGCCTCTCATCAGCAAAACAATTACAACCTGCTTTATGGTGACACTTTCTTGCAGTGTTTTGGAATTAAACCTGTAATATCTTCAAGGTCGGCCTATATACATACACATTTGTGGTATTCATGGCCTTTAAAACTTGGACCATAAAGCTTACGGAAAAATGCCGAAGCTGGTTTGGCTCAGTGGTAGAGCGTCGGTCTGTGGACTGAAAGGTCCCAGGTTCGATTCCAGTCAAGGGCATGTACATTGGTTGTGGACACATCCCTGGTGGGGGTTGTGCAGGAGGCAGCTGGTCGATGTTTGTCTCTCATCGACATTTCTAGCTCTCTATCTCTCTCCCTTCCTCTCCGTAAAAATTCAATAATATATATAAAAAGCTTACGGAAAAAAATCTCTGGCAGAGATGAGGGTGAGGTAGAGGACACTTCAGACATCGGAAAGGCCTGCTTAAAACAGGAGTCATGGTCTAGTGTGGCTAGGCTGGGGATTGTGACAGGAGGTCTCAGTTGGAATTGGAATCTCTCAGTAAAGGGCCTTGAAGGCCAAGTTGGACAGTTTCAACTCTTGGGTAGTGTTCTAGTCTGTAATGCGGGGATCAGAAAGAATAGCACCTGTGTTGATGTACTAAATGAGTAAGTACATGTAAGCAACACTAGCCATTAACTAGTGTTGCCCATGAACTAGTGCTGCCCATGTAACTAGTGTAAGCCATGGAATGAATGAGTGGTAAGCAGTGGACAACAGATGGATATTTTCAATCAAGGGGTAGTCATAATCTAAACTGTGCCTAACAGTGTATTGTTTGATGAGAAAAACAACCTGCCAAATAGGATATACAGTGTGATTCGTGTGTGTGTGTGTGTGTGTGTGTGTGTGTGTGTGTGTGTATGTAGAAAAAAAAAAGTCTGGAAGACTTCCCTTTCCTTTGCGGGATGAACTGCCATTTCTCCTTTGCCTCTAATTTCATTTCAAAAACCTGAACTGATATTCCAGAAAAGCTGGTCAGAAAGGTGAGACCAATAAGTAAAAAAGATGCATTAGTCTGTTCTGGGAGGCTATTCAGTCAAGACAAACATCCCCCAAATCTCAGTGTCTTGCAACAGAAAAGGCTTTTTCGGTTGTTGCTACTGGAACAATCCACTACTGGTATTCTGGGTCATCTTCAAGCCAGGGCCCAGGCAGAAGGAGCAACTCTTAGCTGAGGCAAGCTGATCTCCCGGCAGGGGAAAAGGAGGGACTGCAGAATCACAGGGTGCCTTTTTTCCCTAGCGGGAGGGGGGGGCCGTGGGGGTGGGGGCGACGACGACACACACCTTTTTCTGCCAGGCGCCATTTAGATATTTATAACACCATTCTCGGGCCATACAAAATTATCACCTTGAAAATGAGCCTGCTATATTTGTACAAACATTTAATTAACTACCCCCTAATGCCTTGACAGGGCCTGGCCAAATGATTTCCTGGGCCGTATATGGCCCGCGGGCCGGACGTTCCCCACCCCTGCTCTACAGGATTGGCACGTGTCACTTGCACTCACATTATATTCATCTAAGCAAGCCAGATGGCTAGAGCAAAGTTGAAGGGAGCAGAGGTGAAGAACTATTCATACGCATACACAAGCTTACACAAGATATAATAACGCTTCTGCAGAGAATGATCCAGAAAGTAAATACTTAACGCTGGAATATTCCGTGGAAGGACTGACCTTTTCCCGAATTTTTTAGTGAATGTAACGAAAACCTTTTTGTTTCCCCCCCCTTCAGAAACTTCTCCTTTCTGAAGAGCAAAGAGTAGACTATGTCCAGGTGGATGAGCAGAAGACGCAAGCTCTCCAGAACACAAAGCAGGAGTGGACCGATGAGAGGCAATCCAAAGTGTAAGTGCCGTGGGCTTGGACCTGTGTGACCCAGGGAAGCGTGGGGCTGGCTTTGAGGGTTTTCCCTGCAATCACACCGATGTTCCACACAGGTCACGATGCAGAGAGAACTTGTAATGTCGTGGGCTTGTGGGAGAGAGGATCTGTTTGTGTACATTCGACGGGGAGAAGAAGGAAGCAGCATCTTCCCGGAGGGGGCTGTGATGGAGCCCAGCCCCTCTACACACCACCACCTGTCACAGAAGTTTGCTCCTCTGTCCACACCGGCCCGTGCCCAGAGCCTCAGGGATGCAAAGAGCTGGCTCTACAGTCACAAGAGGCGGAGATGGAGGATTGCACGGCCATGGCCTGGCATGGGGAAAACTTCATTCATTCCAACAGGGTATTAACAATCAAAAGAAAACTCGAGAGACTATTTTCAAAGACTTTGGTGACAAATCTCTCCAGTGGAGGATTTGAAGTGCAGATCGTAAGCCGGTATTCCTAACTGACAAGAAGACATCCTTTGACTCCAATACCTGAAAATGGACCTCTCTCTCTCATGCTTCTGCTGACATGATACATTTTCCCAGCAGAGAAGCCCCGAGGACACAGCTGAAGAGATCAAGCCAGCAATGGTGGGAGAATCTGCACTCCTTCCTCCATAGGCTCCAGCAGGTAGATCGTTGTTATCCCCCAAAGAAAGACAATTTAAGTGACGAGGCAATGGTTCCTGGGCTCTGCGGTGGCCATATCAGAGGACAGCAGTGGGGATTAAGCCACCTGGGCCTGCTCTGAGGATGTCGTGGTTTAAGCGGCTACCTGTGGCTCGGTATGCCATTGCTGTTGACCTGTTTCCGGCATGTTTTCACGTGTATCATCGCCTCTTCCCCCTAAAAGACCCCAGAGGCCCCGGTTGGCAGAAACTGTTGCTCCCACTTGAAGAAAAGCAAACGAGGACCAGAGAAGGGCACACCTAGCCCACGATCACTCATGGAGCCGAGACACAGAGTCGGATTTAAATAGCGTTGGCCAGGCTGCCCATTGCAGGTTCATTCTACCATCTCCCACTGACTCTGAGGGTTTCAAAAAAGACATATATATTGATTTCAGAGAGGAAAGGAGAGGAAAGAGAGATAGAAACATCCATGATGAGAGAGAATCATTGATAGGCTGCCTCCTGCACACTCCACTCTGGGGATCGAGCCTGCAACCCGGGCATGGGCCCTTCAGTCTGCAGGCCAACGCTCTATCCACTGAGCCAAACCAGCCAGGGCGACTCTGCGGATTTTGATGACATTGATCAGTTTGGTCAAATTTGAGCCAAGTGGGAAGCACACACAGGACCTGAGATGAGGCATCATCTCCTTTCCCTTTCATAGGCTTTTGAGCAGGTGCTTTTATACTTGAAAGGTATGCGTGTCCAGCCAGGGTTTCAGACATGGAACTCTAACATAAGCAGTATTTACCATGACAAATACCTCCTGACGACCAGTGCAAAACCCATTCTTGGATTGCACGGTCCCCTTGCGACGTGTTTCCCATAAGCTGGCGAATGCTGGTGGAAGAATTTTCGCCACTTTGGGAAGCCACAAATTGTCCCTGACTATCTTACGCTTTTCAGTGATAGAGTTATGATTAGGAAAAAAAACAAAAACCCCACAAACAAACAAAAACAATGAGCTGCATCCTCACGTTTCCTGGCTCGTTTCCCCCTCTGTTTTGGGGGTACTGAGGTTCCGGGCACTCGGACGAAAATCACAGTCGCGCATGAGGCTGTACTTAATCCTTCCTCATCCTTCCGAGCACCTGTGGCCAGAAGACAGATCGGGATACCTGGGAAGGAAGCAGCTTCTGGAACATTTTCACTGACACTGTGCCCTCTGTGTGAGGCTGGATCCACTAGGCAGGCGGGTCTGTGACGGTCAGGGTTACGCAGGGCAGCTGTAGGCTTTGCTGCGTGGTTTTGGGGTTTCAGAATGCCCTGCCGGTAAGTAAATGCCAAAGACTTGTTTGTTTAGATCATAAAAGAAGTAGTTTTGATGTTAAAAGCACCAGGACCTGGTCATATCATCTTCCTGGAGCAAGGTGGGGGGAAGTGCTGAGTTTTGTTTGTTTGTTTGTTTTATTGTTTTTATTGATTTCAGAGATGAAGGGAGAGGGAGAGATAGAAACATCAATGCTGAGAAAGAATCATTGATCAGCTGCCTCCTGCACACCCCACACTGGGGATCAAGCCTGCAACCTGGGCATGTGCCCAGACTGGGAATCGAACCATGATCTCCTGGCTCACATGTCAACACTCAACCACTGAGCCACACCACCTGGGCCTGCTGAGTTCTTTAACTGAGTCGAGTCCTTAGTGAGCCCAAACAGAGCAACAAGAGGGCTCCTCTCACCCCGTGGCCAGCTCCACATCATCACACAGGAGGCTGGAGCCTGTAAAGAGCCGCCTCCTCTGTGATTTGCAAGGAGTCACAGAGCTTCCGGCAAGAATCCCAGGCTGCTGATTGCTAGCGTCCATAGAGCAGGGGTGGGGAACGTCTGGCCCGCGGGCCGTATAAGGCCTGTGAAATCATTTGTTCTGGCCCTGCCAAGGCATTAGGGGTGAGTTAATTAAACATTTAACCAAATATAGCAGGCCACTTTTGATATTTTTATTGATTTCAAGACAGGAGGGGAGAGGGAGAAAGAAATAGAAACATCAGTGATGAGAGAGAATCATTGATCGGCTGCTTCCTGCACGCCCCTCATTGGGGATTGAGCCTACAGCCCAGGCATGTGCCCTGACCAGGAATCAAACTGTGACCTCTGAGATCCCCCCCCCCCCCCCCAAATCATCCCAGATTCCATTCTGAGTCAAGTGCACACGGCACACCTGGACACTGTGCAGGGTGCTCCTTCTAGAAGACTTGGGAATCAACGGAATTAATTAATTAATTAATTAATCCCACATTGTTTTCCGCAGTTCCTTGTTTTGTTTGTTTCCTTCTATCTCGTTTTGTTAGAAAATTCCTCCGGATCGGGACTTGTGAAGGGTCTCAAGCCTACAAGTCCCTGAGAACTTGGGGAGATAAGTTTTTCTTGAGGTGGGATGAGCCCTGAGGCCCAGCACACAGACCGCTACCAAGGCGTGGAGAGAGGCTGTGGGAGTCAGTCGGTGGAGCAAGGATCAACTGAACTGACACCTCGAGGTCTCACTTGAGGCTGAAGGCTCCCCCCAGGCCTGCTTTCTCTTCTCAAGGCCTCCTCAGTCCCCATTCATGCCGTCTTTGTACCCACGATTATACTGATGTTAAAAAAAAATAAAAATCCATTGTGTTTTTACTATTTCGTTTCTGGCATTAATAAAGTTTTGTAAGGAGGAATCGTGACTTAAGTTCCTTATTTGTTTACAATGATGGCATTTGGTATAAACATAGAACACGTTTTGAAAGTTGAGAATGTGAAATAGACTTCATTGCTGTTTTCAATCGCAACAGACTTAAGAACCAACTCACGCGGAGTGACCGACATCCGTGCTATTTCACTGCAAGCAGTTGAGCAGGTGGCAGTAATGAGTACTGCTTCTGCTCTGCCAAACCATGTCTTTTAAAATATTTTTTAATTGATTTCAGAGAGAAAGGAAGAGGGAGAGATAGAAACACCAATGATGAGAGAGAATCGTTGATCAGCTGTCTCTTGCACGCCCGCACTGGGCATGGAGCCTGCAACCAGGGCCTGTGCCCTGACTTGGAATCGAACCGAGACCTCCTGGTGCATAGTTCAAGTTCAACTACTAAGCCGCATGGCTGGGTTCAGCCAAACCATATCTTGACATCTTTTAAAAAAAATATATTTCATTAATTTTTTACAGAGAGGAAGGGAGAGGGATAGAGAATTAGAAACATCGATGAGAGAGAAACATTGATCAGCTGCCTCCTGCACACTCCCTACTGGGTATGTGCCTGCAACTAAGACACCTGCCCTTGACTGGAATTGAACCTGTGACCGTTGAGTCCGCAGGCTGACGCTCTATTCACTGAGCCAGACTGGTTAGGGATTGACATCTTTTTCCTTCATCAGAAACAAGCTTCGATAATTGGCAATAAAGGGTGGGTGTGAGGTGGGGGGATGGGACAAGTGTGATACTTTCAACAATAAAGATAAATTGGGATGGGGAGAGAAAAAGGAGCCCTCCTTCATTGCTGGTGGGAAGACTGGTGCAGCCACTGCGGAAAGCAGTATAGCATTTCCTCAAAAAATTAAAAATGGAACTTTCATTTGACCCAGTAAACCCACTTCTAGGAATATATTCCAAGAAAGCAAACACCAATCAGAAAGGACATATGCACCCCTATATTCATTGCAGCACAATTTACAATAGCTAAGATTTGGAAACAGCCTAAGTGCCCATCAGCAGAGGAATGGATTAGAAAACTGGTACATCTACACAGTGGCATACTACGCTGCTATGAAAAAGAAGGAATTCTTACCATTTGCAACAGCATGGATGGAACTGGAGAGCATTATGCTAAGTGAAATAAGCCAGCCAGTGAAAGAAAAATACCACATGATCTCACCCATTTGTGGAATATAATGAACAACATAAACTGATGCACAAAAATAGATACAGAGGCAAAGAAGCATAGAACAGACTGTCAAACTATAGTGGAAAGGCTTTGGGAGGGGGTAGGGGCGAGGTAAGAGATCAACCAAAGGACTTGTATGCATGCATAAAAGCATTAACCAACGAATGCAAGACACGGGGAAGGGGGGCATATGTAGGGCGAGGGGGGGGGGGAGGCCAGGGGAAGGTCAATGGGGATAAAAAGGAGACACATTTACTACTATTTGTAAAGCTTGAATCAATAAACTAAATTTAAAAAGAGAAATTTAAAAAAACAGCCCTATGCCGGGACCGGTTTGGCTCAGTGGATAGAGCGTTGGCCTGCGGACTGAAATGTCCCGGGTTCGATTCCGGGCAAGGGCATGTACCTTGGTTGCGGGCACATCTCCAGTGGGGGGTGTGCAAGAGGCAGCTGATCGATGATTCTCTCTCATCGATGTTTCTAACTCTCTATCCCTCTCTCTTCCTCTCTGTGAAAAATCAATAAAATATATTAAAAAAATAAAATAAAATAAAAAACAGCCCTAGCTGGTTTGGCTCAGTGGGTAGAGCATCAGCCTGGTGACCGAAGGGTCCCAGGTTTGATGCTGGTCAAGGGCACATGCAGGAAGCAGCCAATCAATGATTCTCTCATCATTGATGTTTCTATCTCTCCATTCCTCTCTGAAATCAATAAAAATATATATTTAAAAAATAAAAACAATTGCAAATTAAAAAAATATATAACTGGCAATAAAGTCAAGGGCCTTCTCTGATACCACGTGCAACATGGCTTTCCTCATTAGTGATGTTAAAAGGCCCTTGGCCTTCCTGTCCGCACCAGGAATCTCTTGTGCCACCACCTACCTTTTCTCTGAGAAGCTCTGGGTGCTGCTGGCTCAGGGACAACCAGAGAAGTAGGGGCTCAGGTTTGGGGGACACGGGCCAGAGGCAAGAGAGAAAACAGGCCCAGGGAATCCTGGCTGAGAGAAAGGAAGGGAAGCCTCATGAAATTCCTCACCTTGGTGAAGTATGAGACCCACCACCTGAATGCTTTTACCTGACACACCTCAAACCAAGCTCTTGAGCCAAAAAAGAGTAGGTTGGCCCTCAAGGCTGACCTGAAAAGCAGGTTGTGAAACCCAACCTAAAGGGTCTTTGAACCTCAGGCCCCTTAAACCGTACTCCTTTTACTCTATCAGACACTTCCTTATGTCTCAAGCTTCCTGCTTCTTTATTTTATATGTATACTAGAGGCTGGATGCACAAAATTTGTGCACTCAGGAGAGGGTCCCTCAGCCCGACCTGTGCCCTCTCGCAGCCTGGGAGCCCTTGGGGGATGTCCAACTGACGGCTTAGGCCCACTCCCTGTGGGGAGCGGTCCTAAGCTGGCAGTCCAACATCCTTAGCAGTGCCACTGAGGTGGGAGAATCCGTGAGCCGGGCTTCTGGCTGAGCAGTGCTCCCCTTGGGAGTGCACTGACCATCAGGGGGTAGCTCCTGCGTTGAGCATCTGCCCCCTGGTGGTCAATGTGCATCATAGTGACCGGTGGTTCTGCCATTTGGTCGATTTACACAGTAGCCTTTTATTATATAAGATTTTACACTAATAAAAGCCTAGGGCCCTCACGATTGTTGGGAGGATGGAACAGTGGGCCCCTGGCTGCAGGAATGATCTGTGGGGCCCAGGCCGCTGGGGCGTGGCGGCAAAAACCACCACTCCACCTCTCTGTCCCTTCCCTAGCTGGCAGTTCCCATCCCCCAATGGCAAATGGAGAACCAGGGGTGGGTGGCAAGGGACCTGGGCTATGCCAGGCCAAGGACTCCACCCCGCCAGTCCCCCCCCCCCCCCCCCACAGAGGGTGACCCTCAGTTGGGGTGGGCCCGCAAGCGGGTGGGAAAGGAGGAATGGAGGACCTCTCGGACTTCTCGGTCCCTCCCCCTTCAGGCTCCAATGCCCAATGGCAAATGAGGAACTGAGGGGACCCACGGCTCCAGGCCGAGGCCCCGCCCCCCATCATCCCACACACAGGTCGACCAGCACCAAGGGCAAGGCATATGTGTTTGTGTGTGTGTGTTTGGGGCCGGGGGGGGGGGGGGGGGGGGGGGGGGAGATGGCCGACCTCTTGGTCCCTCCCTCAACCCACAAGCTCTGATAGCTGGAAATGGCAAGTCATTTTCCTTATTGATTCTTTATCGCTGGGCTCTAGAGAAATAATGGCCAGGTCCCCCGTTGGATCCCTCGGAGCCCCGTCTCTCCTCCTCTGCTCAGGCCTGCTGACCATGGGGTGTCCCAGAGCAAGAGGGAGAGAAAAGCTGGACTTAGCAACACGTCCCCCCCACCCCCCGCCCCTGAGGGTTGGGGGTAGCAGAGGGACGTGGTGACTTTGGAGTCACACAGATGCTGCCAGTTAGACATGTGTAACCTCTCTGAGCCTCAGTTTCTTCATCTGTAAAATGGGTATGATAATAGTAGCAGCCTCGATGGAATGTTACTGAGTGTGCATCAGACTATGCTCAGAAGGCTCGCAGCCTGGCGCTTGACAGGTACTAAGCCTCACTGTGGTCACCATGATTACCTGCCCCTGCCCTCACTGGGCTTAGAACCCGTGCTTACCTGGGCATGTAGGCAGGTGTGGAAACTGCCTGCTCCGTGTCCTGGGGGCCCCTGGGAGAACTTGGATTCCTGATTCGGAGTTCCTGAGCAAGACGGCTCTGCAATCTGAACCCCCTGAGGGTCAGCAGTCCAGTCGGGTCCTAGCATGTGCTGCCTGGTCTCCGGGCCAATACCATGCCTCCCTCTCTTCCTGGCACAGTCCTATCCTGCCTCAGCTGTCACTCACGCCGAGAATCCATGCGTCGTCTCTGTGCACATCTGTTCCCCAGCAGCCCCACACGTGTGCCTCCCGGCTCCGCCCTGCGCTTGCGCAAATCACTCCGCGCCTTTGTTTTCCCATCTGAAAAATGGGTGCAAGAGTGCCGGCCTCCTGGGGTTGCTGATCAAACCAAATCGCCAGGTGAAGCACTTAGGAGCGTGCTGGGGCCTGTGTTAAGTGGCCATTCAGTGTCAGCTGTTCTGTTATTACTGTTGAAAGGCGAGTCTCCTAGGAGTTGCGGCTCTGCGAGGTGCCAACCCTGTGCAAACCCTGAATGAGAATCTTCAGCCTTTCAGAAACTAACACTTCCGGGTCAGGGCTCAGACTTAGATTTCGGGTTTGATCCCCTATCAGGGCACACAGGGGAGGCAACTAGCTGATGAATGTTTCTCTCTCCCTTCCTCTCTCTAAAAAAAAAAAGAAAAAAAATCATAAAAAAAAAACTGCAGGAAAACTTCATTGTGTTGGGTGTGAAAGACCTTTAGTGGCAAGGGACAAAGAACAAAAACAAAACAAGCAATAAAGGAAATACTTCTTTCCTTTGATAATTGCATTTAATTCAACAAATACTCAGGGACCACCTGCTATGTCACGTGTACTCTTGTAGGCGCTGTGGACCCGAGTGAGTGAAAGAGATCCCTTTCCCTAAGAAGTTTGCGTTCTGGCAGCACGTGAGGGCACGTTAGTGCTCTGTCCAAATCCTCTAGGACAGAGGTCAGCAAACGACAGCTCGAGAGCCACATGTAGCTCTTTGGCCCCTTGAGATTTTAGCAAAGGCCAGCTTAGGAGCACCCTAATTCAGTTAATAACAATGTACCTATCTATATAGACTTTGTTCCTGGGGAGGCAGAGCCCACGAGGGCCGTGTGAGCAGACGGCAGAGCCGCTGGGAGCTGTCCCGGGGCTGGTGCTCCCGCTCCCGCAGCCCTTGTGTCCAGCTGGTCCCTCCCGAGCACCCGGGTGGGGCCCGGACCCAAGCCTGTCGCGTGAAGACAACGCAGGGTGTGTGCCCGGAGCCCGGGGGCCCCTGGTCAGGGGTGGGGGGGTGGCTACCCAGCACACACAGCGGTACTTCCCCCTCCCGTCAGGCACCACGGAGTGACAGCACCCCGAGTGAGACATGGTGCTGAAAAACAAGGTCCATCCGGCCCGGCTCCCGCAGGGACTGGCCTGGGGGCCAGCGGTCAGCAAGCTGGACATCCGCGAGGGTAGCTGGGCTGCAGGGGCTCAGGCTTTGAGGTTCACCCCCAAGCTTGGGGGAGCAGGGCAGGCCTGGCGGGAAACGCTCACAGCCACGTGGCCAGAGGCCTCCCAAGACGTGTTGGCGGGGAGAATGGCCAGGACCAGTCTGCGCATGAGCAGGCACTCAGGGTCCTTTGATGTCCCCTCTAGGGGGCGGGGCTTCTGCGGGAGCCGCTAGGGGGCGGGGCTTCTGCGGGAACCGCTAGGGCGCAGGACTTCTGAGGGTCCCTCTAGGGGCGGGGCTTCTGAGGGACCCTCTAGGGGCGGGGCTTCTGAGAGACCCTCTAGGGGCGGGGCTTCTGAGGGACCCTCTAGGGGCGGGGCTTCTGAGGGACCCTCTAGGGGCGGGGCTTCTGAGGGACCCTCTAGGGGGCGGGGCTTCTGAGGGACCCTCTAGGGGTGGGGCTTCTGAGGGACCCTCTAGGGGCGGGGCTTCTTTGGGACCCTCTAGGGGCGGGGCTTCTTTGGGACCCTCTAGGGGCGGGGCTTCTGAGGGAACCGAGTCGCCTCTGTAGGGGGCTCTCAGCCTTCACCCGGGGGCCATGCAGGCTGAGGGTGGAGGCGCAGGCCGCGTGGCCGAACATGGGGCAGGCCAGGCCAGCCTGCAAGGCTCCGGCAGCCAACATGGCCCCGGAGGCCACGAGGACCCCGGAAGAGGCGGCAGCGGGGAGGTCGGTCCCTCAGACAGTCTGGCGACAGAGATTGCGCTGGCACTTGTCACCCCCGAGCTGGGCGCCGATGCCTGGCAGCGGCCAGATGGACACGACGAGCCCACAGCCGCAAGGCCGGCAGGACGTCGGCTCCAGTTGTATCCTATTTGAGCAGCGGCCGGGCAAGGCCATGGCCCCATGGCCGGGGAGGAGGGGGTCACCCCGGGGCACTGAGGGGGTCGGGAGCGGGGACGCTGGGGTGGCTGAGGGGATGGGCCAGCTTAGATGGCGGAGGGGCCACCTCAGAGACCAGGAGGGTAAGACGGGCCTGAGGAGAACCCCCAAAGCGGCCATGGCATGGTCCCTTAACTGAGCCCCCCCCAGCTACCTCATGGTGCCCTTCCCGTCGTCCATGGAGGCGGACATGGCCAGCCGGCTGCTGCTGCCTCACGTCCAGGCCCAGGAAGGGGTGGGCTTGAAGGAGCTCACGGTGTCTGACAACCGGCTCACTGTGTGCGTTCTGAAGGGGGCCATGGGGGTTGGTGGCAGGTGGCCAGGGTCGGTCCTGGGCCTGGCACCCCGGCGGGCGCAGACAGAGCTGGGTGCAGAGCCACCGCACTGAATCGGCTTTTCTTTTTCCCTCATTCAGCCGGCTGACTGGCGAAGACCCTTTCGAAATCCGAAGTCACATCACCTCCTGTCTCGACCAGCTGTCCCTGATGGCAGTGCCCGCAAGCTTTTTCATCGAGCCTACACTGGAAAGGGGGGCCTGAGGCTAACCTAGACACTCCCCCCCCCCCATAGTCCCCCCCCCCCCCCCCCCCCCAGGCAGTGCTTCCTTCCCTGGAGAGTGGCTTCCGACAGAAGTTGCCACTTTATTCTGGGGCCTAATTGTTCGTATGGCCCCTTCCTACCTCGCAACACTACCGTTTCCCCCATGGCTGGAGAATGCGGTTCTTACTTGTTTGTTACAACAGAAAATAAAATTGAACTGCCACTCTTGTCTGACATGATTGTCAGTTATTCGGCCTCCACCTTTTCTTACATTTGTCCCTGGTTTGGAGGGGAGGTGTGCAATTCAGTTATTCTAGCCCAAGCATGTCAAACTCGCGGCCCACGGGCCTCATGTGGCCCATAACGAATATTTGTGCGGCCCAGCCAATATAACGGTATGTAAAAAATGTTTGAGTAAAATGTTTGTAACTTAATTTTTTACAATATCCTGCTACACATAATTATTAATAAAGAAGTACAACGTTCGCTAATGACTGATGACTATAATCGTGGTGCATTCATTTCCCTTAGCGCCTTATGTGCAGATGCACCATTTCTCTCCACTAATACTTGCAGTGAATATTTTAGCAACTATTGCCACGTCATTAGCCTTGTATTGACTTGTGTGGTGTACACAACAGGAAATGTTTCGCTTTCAGAGAACAAGAAAAATAGGTTTATTTGCGTGACGCTTATTAATTTGTGCAGTTATTCCGTGTCTGGTAAGTGAATGTTCAAAAAATAATTTTTATTAAAATGTTCTATTGTTTTATGTGAACAACAACTCATTTATTTCAGCCCTTTGTATTCAGCCGTGTCTCTATCAAAATAAACCTACGTTTCTATGAAACTTGAAGCTTTTATTTTTTTGCAGCCTGCATAAACTTCAACCTTGGTTATTTGGCTCGTGCTAGCCTTCGAGTTTGACATGCTTGCTCTAGTCAATTGATGACAATTTAGTCAATGGAAGAAAATGAAAATAAATTGTGTCATGTCATTCAGCATTAATAGCTGATGGTATTTTGAAATAATGTCTTTGTTTTATAGTTGCATTTATATATTAAATTGACAAAAATGACATATAGTGTATACTTTTTTCAAGTTCAGGATTAAATATTTTCTGAACTATTTTCATTTAACATATGAGCTTTTTCTTTTTCTAAGGAAAACTTCATTTATTTATATTTTATTGATTTCAGAGAGGAAGGGAGAGGGAGAGATTGATAGAAATATCAATGATGAGAGAGAATCATTGATTAGCTGCCTCTTGCACACCCCACCCTGAGGATCGAGTCTGCAACCCAGCAGGGGCCCTGACCAAGAATCAAACCCTGAATTCCAGTTTATGGGTTGACTCTCAACCACTGAGCCATGCCGGTTGGGCAGCAATAAAGTATTTTTTTCTTTATTGATTAAGGTATTACATATGTATCCTTATTCCCCAATGACTCCCCCCCACTCATGCTCTCACCCCCTGGTGTCTGTGTCTATTGGTTAGGCTTATATATGCATGCATACAAGTCCTTTGGTTGATCTCTTATTTCTCCCCTTCCCCCACCCCCCCGCCCCCCGCCATTCCCCTACCTTCCCTCTGAGGTTTGATGGTCTGATCAATGCTTCTCTGTCTCTGGGTCTGTTTTAGTTCACCAGTTTATGTTGTTCATTATATTCCACAAATGAGTGAGATCATGTGATATTTATATTTCTCTGTCTGGCTTATTTTGCTTAGCATAATGTTCTCAACCAGTTCTATCCATGTGAATTGGCAATGAAGTATTTTTAAATTAAGGTATGGACATGGTTTTTTATTATTTTTATTTTTTAGGCATAATGTTTTTGTACACTTAACAAACTACAGCATAGTTTTATATGCACTGGGGAGGGGGGCGGGGGTTGTGTGACTCATTTTATTGCAATATTGGCTTTATTTGTGGCAGTCTGGAACCAAACCTGCAATCTCTCTGAGGTGTGCCTCTATTTGTGAGCTTAGGCAATATAACAAAATGCTAGACACTAGGTGGCTTAAACAATAGAAATTTATTTTCTCACGGTCAGGAAACTCGAAGTCCCAGATCAAGGTACCAGCAGGGTTGGCTTGTTGTGAGGCCTCCTCCTTGAGCCACTTTCTTACTGTGTCCTTATGTGGACTTTCCTCTATGTGTATGGAGGGAGAAAGGGGGCCATCCTGGTAGAGGCTAACCATTATGCCTTGATTTAACCTTAATTACCCCCTTAAGTCCCTATCTCCAAATACGGTCACATTAGGATTTCAAAATATAACTGGGGAGGAGGGCAATTTAGTTTATAATACACCCCAAAGAAAACATTTTCAACCTTTCAAATCTTTGCTCATATAGTAACCTAAATCATATTTCAATATTTTCATTTTTTTTAAATTTCTAATGTGGCTTACCAATTCATATGACATTTGTCTTTTTTTAAAAAATATATATTTTATTGATTTTTTTTGCCCCCCTCCCTCCCTCCCATACATACCCTCCCTCCCCAGAGTTTTATGTCCATTGGTTGTACTTATCATATGACATTTGATTAGTGGTGTCTCTTCTTCTGAGAACTGTCCATTCATATCCTTTGTCTACTTTTAATTGGAATAATCATAGTTTACTTATTGATTGCTGAGCGCTCTTTATATATTAAAGAAACCAAGTCTTTGTCATAATTTGAACATACTTTCCTTCATCATTGCTTCCTTTTATTTATGCTCTTAATTCCTTTCTATATATAAATTATTAAAAATTTTAAATGTTACTTAAGTGATCAATTTTTTATGATGATTTTTGCAGTTTCTGTCCAATGGAAAGCCTCAGCCGCTATAACGTTATCAAATTTGACACTCATAACTTTAATATTTTAATCCACTAAGAATTTATTTTGGTGTGCAAAAAATGACATTGATCTATTTTATTTTCTCCATCAGAGTTTATTTTCTCCAACATCATTTACCAAATAATTCAGATTCCTCCAGTGAGTTGAAATGCTGTCTTCACTAAATTCTAAATTCCCATCTTCATTTATTCCTTGCAGCTTGGGTTACATTCCCAAGGGTTCAGGGAGAAACATAAGGATAAGAAGCAAATGACACAGAGAAGATTAGGGCATGAATGGACTAGAGGACTGTTGCTTTGGAGAAACTTGAGCATTTTAAAAAATATATATATATTATTGTTTTTGTACAGAGAGGAAGGGAGAGAGATAGAGAGCTAGAAACATCGATGAGAGAGAGTCATCAATCACCTGCCTCTTGCACACCCCCCACTGGGGATATGCCCGCAACCAAGGTACATGCCCTTGACCGGAATCGAACCCGGGTCCCTTCAGTCCCCAAGCCGACACTCTATCCATTGAGCCAAACCGGTTTCGGTGAGCATTTGGGTTTTAAAATAATTTTTACTATTATAATTGACTAGAAGCCCGGTGTACGAAATTCATGCACAGGGGAGAGGGGGGTCCTCTCAGCCCAGCCTGCACCCTCTCCAATCTGGGACTCCTCTATTGCCAGCTTAGGCCTGATCCAGTCGGACATCCCTCTCATAATTCTGGACCGCTGGCTCCTAATTGCTCACCTTCCTGCCTGCCTGATCACCCCTAACTGCACCCCCTGCTGGCCTGGTCTCCCTAACTAGCCCCCCCCCTGCCAGCCTGGTCACCCCTTAATGCCCCCCTTCCAGCCTGGTCACCCCTTACTGCCTCCCTGCTAGTCTGGTCACCCCTTACTGCCTTCCCTTCCCCCGCCAGCCTGGTTGACCCCAATTCCTGCCCCCCTGCCGGCCTGGTTGCCCCACTCAGCCTGCTGGTCAGTCATTTGGTCATCCCCCGCTAATCCCCCTGGCCTGCCTGGTAGCCCCATGCAGCCTGCTTGTTCAGTTGTTTGGTCATCCCTCACTTACCTCCCCCCCCCCCCCCCCGCCAGCCTGGTCGTAGGAGAGGGCAGTTAGGGGTGACCAGGATGGCAGGGGAGTGGTTAGGGGGTGATCAAGCTGACAGGCAGAAGCTGTTAGTGGCAATCAGGCAGGCAGGCAAGCAATTGGGAGCTAGCAGTCCTGGATTGTGAGAGGGATGTCTGACCCGTTTAGGTGGGATCGGGCCTAAATGGGCAGTTGGACATCCCTCGAGAAGTCCCAGATTGGAGAGGGTGCAGGCCGGGCTGAGGGATCCCTTCCCCCTCCCCCTGTGCAAGAATTTTGTGCACCAGGCCTCTAGTGACACTATAAAAATAAAAGGAGAAACATTAACGTAGAAATTGAAGCATGACATGAAACCCAGAAGGCATGTATGAATAAAAATGATGAATGTCTGGGCTGGCGGCCCGGAGCCCATGGCGGCGGGCGGCTGCCGAGGGCGGGAGGCCAGAACCAGACTAAGCTTTGAACAAAGGAAATTCATCCTGAAATGCTACTTGAAGTTTGAAAATGCAGTTGAAGTACAACCTCTGCCTTTATATTTAATCAAAGTGTCTCCCCAAAAATGAATTATTTTATATTTAATCATTTTAAATAATACTTTAACAGCTGACGACTCATTATAGATTCAGTACAATCCCTAATAAAATACTAATGGCATATTTCAAAGATCTAGAACAAGCACTCCAAAAATTTATATGGAAACAAAAAAGACCCTGGATAGCCACAGCAATCTTGAGAAAGAAGAACAAAGTTGGAGGAATCACAATACCAGATACCAAGTTATACTACAAAGCTACTGTACTCAAAACAGCCTGGTACTGGCACAAGAATAGGCAGATAGACCAATGAAACAAAACAGAGAACCCAGAAATTGGCACAAGCCATTCAACTCAATATTTGACAAAGGAAGCAAGAGCATATAATGGAGTAAGGACAGTCTTTTCAATAAATGGTGCTGGGAAATTGGACAGGTACACTGATAAGGAAAATGCTTCTAGCTTTTTCCAGTTGAGTATCATGTTAGCTATGGGTTTGTCATATATGCTCTTTATCATGTTGAGTTAAGTCCCCATTATTTCTGCTTTGCTGAGAGTTTTTATCATAAATGGATGTTGGATTTAAGAAATGTTTTTGATTAGTTTTAGAGAGAGGAAGGGAGAGAGAGAGAGAGACAGAAACATCAATGATAAGAGA